GAGAGAGGGAGAGGGAGGGGGAGAGAGAGAGAGAGAGAGAGAGAGAGAGAGAATTTTAATATTTATTTCTTAGTTTTCGGCGGACACAACATCTTTGTTTGTATGTGGTGCTGAGGATCGAACCCGGGCCACACGCATGCCAGGCAAGCGCTCTACCTCTTGAGCCACATCCCCAGCCCCGCCACCCCATTTTACATCCACAAAAAATCCCAACTCTGCTCCAAACCCTGCCCGCCTCCTGGCCTACTGTCTCATCTTGTTTCAACCCTCACCTATATTTGCAATTGGTTTCCAGACATGGACCCTGGGGTCCAGAGAGCTCTCAGGATTATCGGCATGGGCAAGGGTGGAGATCTTTTATGCAAAGCCTCTTCGTGCTCACCCCTGCTCCTCCCATAACTCGCCTCAATCAATTATGAGGGCAGGAACCCTGTGAACTCAAAGGCTTAAGCCTAACAAAGATTAACTTTTATTAAGTCAAATATAATTAAAGTAAGTACCATTTGATTACTTTTTTCTCTGATGTATTTAATCCAGAGTTAAAACACTATTGTGACTTTCAGGAAGTATAAATCAAGAAAATATTTGTATCTTTTCAACTATAAGTTCTACTTGAGGAACCTGCACTGAAGAAAAAAGTCAGAAAAGAGACAAAGATTAGTTGGTTGTGGTGACATAGGATGCATCCTGTAATCTCAGCTACTCAGGAGGCTGAGGCAGGAGGATTGCCAAGTTCAAGGCCAGCCTGGACAATTTACCCAGATGCTGTCTCAAAGTAAAATGAAAAGGGCTGAGGATGTGGCTCAGTGGTCAAGTGCCCCTGGGTTCAATCCCCAGTACTACTACAGCAACAAAACCCTTAAAGATAGTGCAGGAGAATGTTATCTGCAGCATTCTTTCTTACTCTTTTTTCTTTTGTTCTCTCTGTAACACTGACTTCCTAGCCGATTATTACATTCCTATCATTTCCAAGCCTTGGTTTTCTTGTTTATGAAATAGCAATAAGACTCAAATTAAGGGCTGGTGGGTAGAGTCAAGAAGACAGAATCCACCTCAAACCAGGCCTGGGCACGTTGTAGCCTTCAGAAATTAGTGGCTTCTCCTATAATCCCAGTGGTTCCAGAGGCTGAGGCAGGAGGATCACAAGTTTAAAGCCATCCTCAACAACTTAGCGAGGCCCTAAGAAACTCAGTGAGACCCTGACTCTAATAAAATACAAAAAAAGGGCTGGGGATGTAGCTCAGTTGTTAAGCGCCCCTGGGTTTAATCCCTGATACCAAAATAATAATAATAATAATGATAATAATATTAATAGTGGCTTCTCTCTCCTCTTTCTCACTTCTCCACAGTCCCTCTCTTTGACTTGGCACCACATGGCGGATCCACTCTGAGTCTCCTATCCTGTCTGTCTCCCAAGAGTCCTTGACTCTGTGGACTGATTTGGAAGGAATGCTGACCCTAATGAGGCGCCCCATCACAAGCCTACCTCCTACTTCCTGACTCACCTCAAAGTGCCCCAAGGCAGAACCCAGAGTAGAATGCAGCGTGAGGCCGAAGCTTACCCTCCTCGTGCTCCAGCTCCCCAAGGACCACGTACAGGGAGCCCACCTGGGCCTGGAACGGCTCCACCAGCTTGGTACAGACAAGAACCTGGTGCTGATCAGACCCGTGCTGAGCCCTCAGGGTCACCCTGGACTGGGTCACGTCATAGAGGCACAACCTGGAGAGCGGAGGAAGCGAGACGGTTTCTATCCGTGGAACCGCCACAGATAAACCTGGAGAAATCCACATCCACCTTCAATGCACCCAAGAAAAAACCAGAAACAACAAGTGTTTCAGTCTATGTTGTAGACCAGGAGATGACTTTCATTTAAGTTTCTTCGCCTTGTTTTAAATTTTCTTAATGGTATTTTGTAATTTAATTTTGTTGCTATCCAATGTAGTTGCTTTTTTTTTTTCCTTGTATGTTTTCCACTTTCTGTGTCTTAGCTGAGATTTCTGCTGATCACAAGGACATTGTGAAGATGCGTTCTTGGTTATTTCTGGACATTTCATGATTTCAGCTTATATTTCTGTGATACAGTGCAAATTATTATCCTTTTGTATGTTGTGAGGTAGGGATCAAATTGTTTTTCTCCCATAAAAATATCTGGTGATTCCAGCACCATTTTTTGAAACAATTTTCCTTTACCCACTGAATTAAATTGATATTTTTCAAAAACCATTAGAGAAAAGGCTAAATGAATTATGGCATAGTCATGCTCACCTAACAACAGGATATGCTCTGAGAAGTGAGTTGCTGGGCAATTTTATCACTATGCAATCAGCCTAGGGCACACTTACACAAACCCAGGTGGCTGCCTACCACAAACCCGAATCACCACTGGGCCCAGCTAAGGCACTATATTTGAGAGTGATTTATTGTACAGAATATGCAACCAACAGAGTATGTGGAACATGTAGGCAATTGTAACCCAAGAGTAAGTATTTGTGGACCTAAACATATCTAGACATAGAAAAGGTACAGTAAAAATATGAGGTGAGAGGCTGGGGTACTGGCTCAGTGGTAGAGCGCTTGCCTAGCATGCGTGAGGTCCTGGGTTCAATCCCCGGCACCACATAAAAATAAACAAATAAAATAAAGATAATATGTTCATCTGCAACTAAGAATATTTTTTAAAATATGAGGTAATCATAATTTTTTGGCTCCATTACTCCAATATAATCTTTTTTTTTTTTGAGTGTGTGTGTGTGTGTGTGTGTGTGTGTGTGTGTGTGTGTGGTTCTGGGGACTGAGCCCAGGGGTGCTTTACCATTGGCTACATCCTTTGTCCTTTTTTTGTTTTACTTTGTTTTTAGAATCAGGGTCTTGCTAAATTGTAGCTGGCCTTGGATTTCTGATCCTCCTTCCTCAGCCTCCCAAGTAGCTGGGATTACAGGCATGTGCCACTCACTGTACCCAGCTCCATTTTAATCTTATGGGACCATTGTCATATAAAATCTCTTGTTGACCCGAATGTTATGCCATGTGTGAGGGTATATTTAGATGAGGTAGATTTATACAGGAGACATGAAAACATGTCTAGCACATGCAGCTATGTAAGTGAATAAATGGTACAATATAGAAACACCACAGAAGCTCATCTAGGCTAAAATATGTCCTCAGATGTGTACACATATATCCCAGGATGGGCCCCATTGAATTGCATTTCCTGGGACCCACATCCTCATGCAGTGCCCTGCCATGCTGAATAGGGCTGATGTGGGTAACCAGCAGATTCTGCAGGAATGAGGGAGAGTGACTTCTGACTCTGTCATAAATACGTGGTGGCCTCCACCTTGCTCTGTCTCTTGGATCGCTCATTCTGGGAGAGACAGCTGTTAGAGACAGCCTCACTCAGCCCTATAGAGAAAGCCACATTGTCCCAGACTAAGTGTTCCTGCAGGAGCCAGCAATAATTTGCCAGCCAAGTGAATGAGTCACCTTGGAAGTGGATCCTCTAGTCCATCAAGGGACAAATGGCACCTGTGGCCATTATCTGGGCTGCAATCTCATGAGAGACCTGAGCCAGACCCACCCAGTTAAGCCACCCTTGAGTTTCTGACCCACACTAACTGTGAGATAATAAACATCTGTGGTTTTTTGGCATGGGGGTTACTGGAGATTTAACCCAGGGGTGCTTTACCACTGAGCTACAACCACCAGCCTTTAAATTTTTTTTTTTTAATTTTGAAACAGGATCTCATTAAGTTGTCTAGGACCTTGCTAAATTGCTGAGACTGGCCTTGAACTTGGGATCCTCCTGCTTCAGCCTCCCAAGCTGCTGGGATGACAGCATGCACCACTGTGCCCAGCTAAGGCACTATATTTGAGAGTGATTTATTATACAGAATATGCAACCAACAGAGTATACATGTACATACATATATTGGCCACTCAGATGTATGTATATACATACATATGAACATGAAAAAGTGTAGAAAGATAATCACAAAATGTTAGCAGTAGTTATCTGGACAATGGGATTGTAAGTGATTTTGCTTTCTGTACTCTTTTCTGGACTCCTTATATTTTTACAACAAATACATATTCATTTTTAGCATTTTTCATAATTAGACAAACTATATAAAACTACTCTAATTGCTTTATTTTCAGGGGGGGAAACCATTTAAACATTCCCCCTCCCACCATGTGACAAGACCACCTTTCTCACCTGCCATATGTTCTCAGGATGCCCCCATCAGGAACCTGGCCAGCACTGACCTCCCAGGGGAAGTAATAGATCCCAGGTTTGGGCAGCATTGTTGGTTCCTGTAACCAAATAGGATGAATTTTTGAAGGTTCCTGATAAACCAAGCAAAACACAAGACAGACCCAGAGATGCACAAGACCAGCAATAATACCTGGAAGACTAGCTCTAGTCGGGAGGGAGATACAATTGAAAACAGTTTTGAGCTCTGCTTGGTGGTGCACACCAGTAATCCCAGCAACTTGAGAGGAGGAGCAGGAGGACCACAAGTTCAAAGTCAGCATCAGCAACTTAGCAAGACCCTGTTTCAAAATAAAAAAGGCTGGGGAAGCTAGGCGTGGTGGTGCACGTCTGTAATGCCAGTGGCTTTGGAGGCTGAGGCAGGAGGATTGCAAGTTCAAAGCCAGCCTCAGCAAAAGCAAGGCACTGAAAAACTCTGTGAGACTCTGACTCTAAATAAAATACAAGATAGGCCTGGGGATGTGGCTCAGTGGTGGAGTGGTGCCGAGTTCAATCCCCATGTATCCCCCAAAATAAACAAACAAATAAATATCAATTTCATTAAAAGGGAGGGGGCTGGGGATGTGGCTCAGTGATTAAGCACCCCTGAATTCATTCCCTTGTACAAAAAAAAATTCTTTTGATATGTTATTAATGCACATAACACACACACACTCCCACAGACCATATGGAGAAGTACTGCTTCTTACTCCAATCTCAATGCAACCCATTCCCAGCAATGCCCAAAAGCATGGGTCTGTAAAGGAACAGACAGCACTTTTAGCTTCGCGGGCTAGACGATGTCTGTTGTAGCTATAACAATTTTCCTTATACTAGGTTTCCTCTCAAATATTCAAGAACGGGCTGGGCCTGGTGGCACATGCCTATAATCCCAGCAACTTGGGAGGCTGAGGCAGGAGAATCGAAATCCAAGGCCAGCTTCAGCAATTTAGCAAGATCTTGTCTCAAAATTAGGAAAAAAAGAAAAAAATAGAGCGCTGGGGATGGGCTCAGTGATAGAGCGCCCCTGGGTTCAATCCCCAGTATCATAAAATAAAATAAAATGTGAGAGAACTAGGGTTTCAGGGATAATTAATTGTTCAATGACAAAAGAGTCCTGAAAGCAAGAGCTTTCAACTATTCCTGGACAGGACAAGCACATAGAGATGGGAATAAAGATAGACGATAATGAAATAACCCTAAAAACCCGTAGAAAACAGACGACACAGCCTCAGTCCAGAAGTTAAATATAACCTAGAATCTTGCACAATTGGTATGATTTACAAGGAGGTCATTGGGCAGTGTTGCAAGTCAGTGTGCAACGGACATTTTGAGAAGCTGCCAAGAGCAGGCTTGGTTTGTACAGATCAGGAGCCACGGGCTGAGTCTCAGCTGGCCCCATCCCCCTAAATGTGTGTGTCGTGAATTGCTGTGGCCAGTGAGCAGAACTGTCGGTCTCTTGACATGAAACAGCCCCCTAATCACCTCTGGCATGACCAAGAAGCAAAAATGGAAAGAAAACAAAAAATAACCAAGGAGAGAAAAAAACAGAGCAGTGGTCCGTTAGGGGCCATGGGGGACAATCCCCTTCAGTCCAGCAAAAAGATGACACATGGTGG